TGACTCCTGCTCTCTAGAAGAGCCTCACAAAGGTTCTTCAGTGCAAGATTACCAGGAGGATGTTCCCTTGAGGATCTTCTCCTACAAACTGGACATTCTCGGGACTCCTTAGTTTCCCAGAACTTCTGCAGGCAGGTTTTACACACACTGTGGCTACACGACAGAACAACAGGATCCCTGAAGATTTCACAGCACACAGGACAGGAAAGCTCTTCTTCTGAAAGAGGGTTTCTAGCAGCCATTTCCTCCAACTGCTGCTGTCCTGTTTCTCTGTAATGGCTCCTTTAGTCCAAACTCCACTTTCACTTTTAAGACGTCTGTAATGATCAGAGCAGCACAGTTGAGAATCAGCCACCGTAGCCCTTCAACCCACTGAGTGAGTTTAGCTCCTTTCAGAATCACACATCAAGATCGAGCTCTACTATGTGGGCGACCCTGTGGTTCAGGAAACTGACCCAGTAGCATCCAAATAATTCACTATAAACACAGAGCTACATAATGGAGTATATCAAACCCAGTGTACAAAACTACACATAGAAGTATTTTAAGTTAAAAACAGCCATTAATGACTATTTGGTTTGTATTTGTTATTCTCTGGAACTGGACTAAGTATTTTTGCATATAGTAGTAAATAGTAATACCTGCTCTGTGGTGGTCCTGGTTGGGGTCCTGATTGTTAATGAACAAAGTAAAAGGGTTAACAAATTATGCAGAGAAACAGATCAATTACAATCTGCCACTGCAACTATAAACTGCACCTAAACATTAATGGACCTGATTTAATGGACAATGAGCATAAATATGAGGTAGCTGTACATAATGAAGTGTCCAGTGAGTGTAGACATATAATGTAGTACAGCAGTTTACTGCACTCACCAGCTTAGTTTGTAATTGTTTGGTAAAGACCATTGTAGCTGTTTCTTTACTTGTGTAATTGTTATTCCACTAATTTTGTCTGAATTGTAAGTTCTGTGTATGTTGTTTAGACAGTTAAAGCAATGGCCTCAAGGTGCTTTCTGGTGTAATCAGGTCATTTCCACATACCATTGAACACAGGTGAGCCTTAAGAATTGTTCAATTTACAAGACATGATACAGTACATAGTAGCTTCATGTATAGCCTTATTTTCTTAGAACTGTGGCAGATCATTGATCGCTCACCTGTGTTCACCTGTGTTGTATGTCCCCGTCTACTTCTTTACACATTATAGTTTTACTGTAGAACTGGACACTCACTGTGTTCTTTAGTTTAATGACACAACTTATATTCCGTAGTACTGATTTCCAATGAATATTTTAGTGAACTTCAGAAGGCTTTGTTTAGTGAGTGAGAATGTAATGGTTACATAAACTACATTTTCTTTGTTTAAGAAAGAAAGAAAACTCAGTACAACTCAAAGTTTTGCTCAAGATTAGTTGTTTTCTTAGTACAACAAATGTTCTCATGTTATCTCAACTAAATATTACAGTGCAGACGATCTGGCTGTTTGGATCCAAATCTTCAGCAAACTTCCGCAACATGAAATCACTTTTTCTCATTTTTGCACAGTTTGGTTAAACAAATCAGTTGAAAATTTACCTCTACAAGTGAAATATTCCTTTTGTGCTGACAAAAGCACATAGGGTCTAATAAATGGTGGCAGTCACTCATTTTATATGCTCAAAACTAGTAGACTCTAGTAGTTTTAGTTAAACAGTGCTTGGCTGACTGATATGATCATTAATTATAAAGCATTATTCTGAGTTCTCAAATTTAAAATGACAAACAGTTAATAAACACATAGTTATTTTACACGAAACGCTCACAAACTCTTACATTATACTACTAATTAACCAACCACTTAAAAGTAACATTATAAGTTGTAACTAATATAGAATTTAATTAATCAATTCAATAATATCAGCTCTCTGTTTTGAACAGCTCTGTTCTGTTGAACAATATGATTTCCTTACATAACATTTTAAGAGATGTTATCAGTGTATTTATTATCAGTGTAGCTCAGAATGTCATATTCTGTTTGTGTAGGAAAAGCACAGGATACACAATGTAGCATTAATGTACAGACTTCATCTGACCTGTTCAACGTCCAAAACAGGAAAAGCTGCTACTTAAAAAGAAAAGAAAATATAATTCACTTCACTGTTAAGAAACAAAAGATTTAGATAAACTTTCCTACCTTAAGGTCAGTCACAGCTTCATCTACCAGACAGAATTCATGATTTTTGTGTTTCTTTGAAGTCTGACACACCAAACACACAGACTGCTGATCATCCAGACAGAAGAGTTTGATTTTCTCATTGTGCAGAATGCAGAGCTCCTCAGACCCTGCTGAAGATCTCTGACTCCTGCTCTCTAGAAAAGACTCACAAAGGTTCTTCCGTGCAAGATTAAAGGGAGGATCATCTTTAGAGGATCTTCTTCTACAAACCAGAAATTTTTGAGATCTCTCAGTTTCTCTCACCAAAGCTTTTTAGGAGTTCTTCATTTATTGGGTTGTTAATCAATCTGAGACTCTTTATAAGATATTTAGTTTCTACAGGAAAAAAAAACATCAAACTTTACAATTTAGAAAAAAAATAATCCTCATGAATACAGAATTATTATGTCTTCATTCGTTTACTAACGTATGAATTTGATCCCCTGCATGAGAAGCCAATCAGGAAGTGACTTCTTTGACTTTACTGAAAACAGCAGGATGACTGGTTCAGTTTATATATACTCTCAGTGTGTGATTGAGGAGGTTATTTAGGGTGTGTTTATTTAAGTAGGCTGTGTGTGGTGTGTGATAAAATGGATGGTTTGTGGTCTTTGTCATTAAGTACATTAACTTTATTGAAGACTGTATTTGAGTAGAATATCTGAGGTTTGTATTTAAGGAGATTATCTGTGGTGTTTTAATGTAAGTAGAGTATCTATGGTGTTTGATCTGTGGTGTTTTATCAGTGCTCTGAATAAATTATCTGTGGTGTGTGATTGAGTAGATCATCTGTGGTGTGATTGAGTAGATTATTTCTGTGGTGATTTTATGTAAGCAGACTATCTATGCTGTTTGATCAGTGGTGTTTTATCAATGGGGTGTGAAAGAATAAATCATCTGTGGTGTGAGTGATTTAGTGGATTATCTGTGGTGTGTGACTGAGTAGATTATCTGTGGTGTGTGACTGAGTCAAGTATCTGTGGCGTGTGATTTAGTAGATTATCTGTGGTGTGTGACTGAGTAGATTATCTGCGGTGTGTGACTGAGTAAATAATCTGTTGTGTGTGACTGAGTAAATTATCTGTGGTGTGTGACTGAGTAGAGTATCTGTGGTGTGTGACTGAGTAAATTATCTGCGGTGTGTGACTGAGTAAATAATCTGTTGTGTGTGACTGAGTAAATTATCTGTGGTGTGTGACTGAGTAGAGTATCTGCGGTGTGTGACTGAGTAAATAATCTGTGGTGTGTGACTGAGTAAATTATCTGTGGTGTGTGACTGAGTAGAGTATCTGTGGTTTGTGACTGAATAAATTATCTGTGGTGTGTGACTGAGTAAATTATCTGTGGTGTGTGACTGAGTAAATTATCTGTGGTGTGTGACTGAATAAATTATCTGTGGTGTGTGACTGAATAAATTATCTGTGGTGTGTGACTGAATAAATTATCTGTGGTGTGTGACTGAGTAAATTATCTGTGGTGTGTGACTGAATAAATTATCTGTGGTGTGTGACTGAGTAAATTATCTGTGGTGTGTGACTGAGTAAATTATCTTTGGCGTGTGATTGAGTTAATTATCTTTGGCGTGTGACTGAGTTAATTATATGAGGAATGTGACTGAGTGGAATATCTGTGGTGTATGACTGAGTAAATTATCTTTGGCGTGTCACTGAGTAGATTATCTTTGGCGTGTGACTGAGAAGATCATCGGGGTCTCTCTTCCCTCCATCATGGACATTTACACCACACTCTGCATCCGCAAAGCCACCAGCATCGTGAACGACCCCATCCATCCCTCACACAGACTATTTTCACTGTTGCCGTCTGGCAGAAGGTACCGGAGCATCCGTGCCATCACTGCCAGACTCTGCAACAGCTTTGTCCCTCAAGCAATCAGGTTTCTAAACTCAAAAGGGCTGAACTAACCCTTAATTTTTGTTTGCACTCTGTCTGCACGTTTGCACTTTGTAATTTTGTATTTTTGTACTCTTGTACTTTTTGTTCCTTGTTGCACCTTGTTCCTGGAGGAGCGTAATTTCACTCCACTGTGTACTTGTACAGATGGAATGACAATAAAAGCCTCTTGACTTGACTTGACTTGACTTGACTTGATTATCTGTGGCGTGTGACTGAGTAGATTATTTGTGGTTTGTGACCGATTAGATTCTCATTGGTGTGTGTCTGAGTAGATTATCATTTAGATTAGCATTTATTAGACTTTATTAGTCTTGGTCATAATTCTGTCCAATCATAAAGAAGATTATACTGATGAAGATCCAGTGAGTGGAGTCTGTGTAATGCAGGCAGTCTGTCAGTCCTAAAAGACACTGTAAAGCTCTCACTCCCTCATATTTCTAAAGAGTCTTAATAATTCCAGCTCCATCCAAGCAGACAGTGATGGACTGCTTATGTAGAATCACCAATAAAAGTCCTCTGGTTAGCTGTTGGTGTAATCTGTGCACTGATGAAGCAGCAGAGGAGAAATATTTAGTCTACAAACTTTGTTTATTACATTATTCTTAAGTTATGGTTCACTGCTTTAGACAGATCTCCTCCATTTTATCTGCTGACGATCTTTACATGATGCTGTGGGATAATGTTCAATACACAACATGCATTTAGTTTATAATATAATGCAGTTTATTTCACACAGTAAACTATTAATCTCTGAACCAAAGCAGAGTTTTAAAGATCTAATGATGGAGAAAAATGCAGGATGATACAGAAATAAAATCTACACTGAAAATGAGTGAAATCTCACTCAAATAACGTTTCTAATGTTGTAATGATATCAGGAGTCACTCTATGACACTTTAAATCAGCATTTTATTTCCACACAGACATGTTAGGATGGAATGGTACAAACACATTATTTAAAATATACATGTAGTGACATATTCTTATGATCATAATTCAGACACTCACTACCTGTATAAATGTTCATTCTAAGCAGCATCAACTTTAACTGTGCTGTTCCACTGTTACTGACGTCTTCACTGGTAAGATCCTCAGAGGATGAACAGAATAATTATAGAATAATGGTAAAACTCTCTCAGTGAAAGTGTGTGTTATAGTGTGCAGGTGTGTGTTGGTTAGAAGATCAGTGAAGGTCACTTTCCCCCTGTCCCAGTCCAGCTGCACTCTGACCCTCTGCAGCTTCTCTTTAGGTGTGAAGGAGAGAACTGACTGTCCTGGACAGAATATTTGATATTCACCATAACTATTATACAGACTCCACACTGAACCCCAGAAAGAGTCTCCTTTTCTTGTTACAGACTCTGGTATCACACCCAGTCTCCAGTAATGACTGTCTCCAACCTGGACGTCCCAGCAGTGAATCCCTGAGTTAAAACCCTCAGAACCCAGAACACACCAGTCAACATCAAATCTTTCTGGATTATCAGGAAGTGATGATCTCTGTTTTCTGTTTTCTACAGCAGTGAGATCATCAGACAGGTGGAGGTGTGGATGTGCATTGTTGGGGTCCAGAGTAACAGGGGCTGAGGAGAGAGAACACAATGAAACATCATGTTTTTCTCTCATTTCTGTAAATGTTTTACCTCTACAGACTATTTTCTTTACTGTGAGTAAAACAGCTTTAGAGGTCGATTCCAGAACACAGATTAACTTTAATCCTGGACTAAATGTTGATGTTCAGTTCAGTGCAGCACTAAAGTATATTTTCAGTAGTGAATGGTCATTATAGTCCAGTGACTGATCTAATCTGAGTGCAGCATTTTTCTGTAGTGATTCACTCACAGAGCTGAAGATCCATTAACATTTTCACACTCACTGACTTTCAGATCATTTTTACAATACCATTACAAAAATTACAATTATTATATGATTATAAATTATTAAATGTACAAATTCTTTCTTGATCAAATGACAAGGTAAAATTTAATCCTGACACATTTACTGAACGCCTAAAATTAATTCTGAATTTTATCTGTTTTGCTCCTTTATGGGGATTTGTGGAATCTTTTTGTTTCCAGTTCATCATACAAAATACTGACCTATATATTATTATATCTATTATCTATTTTATTATTACTGTATTCCATATAACATTAGTTATAAAATACGTTATTCTGAGTAGTTGTGAAGAAAACAGTTAACTTGGTTTTGAGCAGAAAAAATGAAAATATGAAGTGAAAATACAAAATTTGGAGTACTAAGACCCCCAGACACGCTGCAAAAAAGCACCCTTCAGCATACTGACCCAAATATATTATTTAATCAGATTTTTATCATAAAGACATAAAGTTGTTCACTGTATTTTCACTGGCTAGCAAACATTAGCATTACATGCTAGCTGTAGTGATCATTATCTAGAATTAGGGAACATTTAGAGCTGAAGATGAGTTTGAACATCCTCACCTGATCTGCTCTGACATGATCAATAATAATAATAATAATAATAATAATAATAATAATAATAAAAATAAACTACCCTAATATTATTGTAATTAATATAATCACATACGTTTTTAATTAATGTATAAAATTTGTAATTTAAGTCTTTCTAATTCATCATTAAGACACAAATTGATATTTGCCTCAATGTCAATATAAAACATAATTTTAGTGATGTCCTTGGATGAATAAAAAAAAGTCTATGAATTATTTCAAGTATTAAAAATTATACTAAATAATATATGTTAAAAATATGATTTGTGCTTTAATTTGATTTGAGTCTGTTTAAACACTGATTCTTCTTTCTTTCACTCGAGTATATTTTTATCTCCACACTTCACATTTTATCTGAGTGAGATTTCTGCACAGTACAGTATTCATACTTTCACTTAAGTACAGTTTCAGTGTCCTTTTTACACCCTGAATAAAGAGAACATGATAACATGTTACTAATAGTTTATAAACAGTGTCTCATTAGTGCAGAAGCAGACTGTGTGTGAGAGATCAACCCTAAGAGAAACAGAACTTACTGTACTGGAGAATCTCCTGCATGTTCTCCCACACTCTGAACTTCAGGTTGGAAAGGTGTTTCACTACATTGATCAGAGCTCCTGATGTCTTCTCTGGATCCTTTGGTGTGAGCTGAGCTCTGAAAATAGAAGATTGTGTGAAATATATCACTGTAGAAACTTTACAGCCTGTAATTTATTTGACTAAATATCAATATTTGATGACATTTATTGTGTGGAGTCAATAATTCTGTTGTTTCTGTTAAATAAATATTTCTGCTACTGTTCTCATCACTACAACATTAACACTCAATCCTTATTCACCTTCATTTCATTATAATACACTCATATTTACAATAAATACAATATACTGTAGATTTAAATGTAATAATGACTTTAACATTAGATAAAATGTGTGATCTGACATTTACTCACTGTTTCTCTGTAGACTTGAAGTTCTGAGAGGGAAACAAAAAGAACATTGTAGTTAAAAGAGAAGAGACTTTTCAGGTGTTTTTCATATGAAACACACAAACACCAGCAAACAGCCAAGTTAGTGACATTATCTATCATTTCATTTTCAATAAAACTTCACCTTCTAAATAACTACTTAATAAAATTCATTATGTTTGTTATTTATAAATTAATCTAATTAGTCAGATGTTGATAAAGTAGTTTGACTGGATGAATTTTGAGAGGCAGGGATCACAAACTAGACCGACAAGCAAAATGCAAACAAATCCATCAACCAGTCATCAACAAACAAATGCAGGTGAAGATCTAATGAGGTTCACTTGGAAACACGGCTAAGAATTACAGGAGAACCACCAACAACAGAACCAGAGCCAAACTAACACATCAAGCAGCAGGTTTGTGGAGAATCTTGTGGAGGAGACGGTTAAAGCTTCCTGTTAACTCAACCTGGAACCAGCCATCAGGGCATATCTATATAGGGTGGCAAAATTTCGCAGCTGCCACCTCCTCAATAGATTTAACCACCCTAATTATGCAGACCCTAAAATATGATGCCAAATTGTATTAAGCATAAAGTCTGCATTCCTAAAAATGGGAAAGAACACTGAAACTCAATCTATGTTTTGTCGTGTTATTTATGCACATTGACACAAGAATTTGAAACACTGTAGGAATTTATCAGTGATTTCAAATATATTTTGAAATGTTGATGTGGCTGTGAGTTTCGGTTTTATAGGTCTGTCCTCATTCTAAGAGAGAGGAGTCTGGTCTCGTATGACTGGAAATACCTGCCCAGGGACGTGTTAAAGTGGCTGTCGAGTGAACAGACTTTCCTATAAGGACTTTGGTTTGTGTCATTAACTCTGTAGTTACCTTCTCAGCTTGCAGGTTAAATGAATAAAGGTATTTACCTGGAGTTCCATTTGTTACTCAGTTAACCTTCACTTGTTCTGAACTAAAGTTAAATTCAATTTAATCTCAGCCCTCCAAACACCAGAGACGTAGACTCAAGACATATGATTTGGACTTAAGTCCGAATGGTATTATGAATTTGATGACTTGAGACTCAACTCGACAAAATCAAGAAACACTTGCGACTCTTTGACTTGATTATCAGTGACTTAAACTTTAACTCAGATTTGAGCCGCATGACTTGTGAAGACTTGAGGCCCAAAGTGGAAGAAAGGTGGAGAGTCTGACTGCAGACAGGACTCTACACAGCTGCTGACTTTTCCTGTGAAAGAATTTGTTCCCTCCCCTAAAGTTGATATACATCAGCTTCCTCAAATGTCTGTCGCTGTGTTTATGCTCAGCTTAATGTATTTTGGAAGAAAAGCGAAGCATTACAGTTTAAGTTCACCTCCGTAAGACAGACACAAGCAGAACATCAATAGCATCAATAAGCCCAGCTCAGCTCTTAGACTCTTACTGGAGAATCTTACCAGCTGATCTGACCGTTTTCCTCATGGTAGTTAAACAACAGTAACACAGCTCTCTGTATTTGACAGAGCTTAACAGCTTCTGCAGGTAAAACAAGCTCAGCATTCACCAAGAGGGTGAAGTTGACTTTTAATCCTCCAGGTTCATATTTGAATTTGCTGTTCCACCTTAAATGGTGCAGAAGTTACACACCGGAACCAAACGGAAAATTTGAAGAAGAAGCTGCTGGCAAATAAAAAGTCGCCTTCAGCTTCATACACTCACCATCATTTTGCTGTGTTTTCTGTAAACTTTGTTCAGCTCAACTCGTTTTGGTTTCTATTGTCTAAATTAATTTCAAGCTCGTGTTTGTTTTTAGTTTGCTGTGGTAGTTTTAGTGCTGAGTTAGTTTTTATTTGATTTATGTTCCCAAAAATCCCCAATGTAATTAAATTCAACAATACTTCATTATAAAATTCATGTGTAGTTGAACTACTCCTTGTGTAGCTATTATGCTTGTCATTTGTGTACCATGGATTTTGTATTTTATTTGGAAGGGTAAAAATTAATAATAATAAAAAAATAATACAGAGCCACACTTTGCTAAAAAGTTTATGTCAAAATATCAAAGCAAATGTCTTTTTCTACCAAAGAAGTCATAAGAGGTAAGATATAAAGGGTCCATAAACATTTTTTTCATTCCCACAGTGGCAGTATGCTTTAGCCGAGAATGCTTGCCAATTGAGTAAACATGCTGTATTGTTTTTCCTCGGCATCTCAGCTGTCTGATTTGAACTAGTCATGTGGCAAAAGTTGTGCCTGTAGGGAGTGGATGATTTTTAAATGCTTCATAGTAAAAAGTGTTGCAGTGTTGATTGGGACTTAAGTAAATTCTGGTTTATGTGAAGACTCAGACTATAGATGGCAGAAGTACTGATAAAGATATAATCTGAACGCAAGCTCCAGACGCTGAGCAGGGAGCTGCTGCGGTTGTTGGGGGTGTTGGATATTTCCAAGCGGTTTCCCGCGGCTCTGAGCAAACACGGGGACATCAGCATCATAGTAATTCACACAGGGGTGAATGACATCTCATCCCGTCAGAGTCCTCAAGGAGCATTTCAGATTATTTCTAGACACCGTTAAGAAGAGAACCAATGCCTGGATCGTCAGCTCGGGACTGCTGCCCACCTACCGGAGAGGAAGCGAGGTGTTCAGCAGGCTCTACGCGCTGCACTGTTGGCTCCAAGGCTGGTGTAAGAACAACGGCGTCGGCTACGTGAGCAACTGGAGTGTTTTCTGGGAGCGACCGGCATTCTACCGCAGGGACGGACTACACCCGAGCCGCCGCGGTCTGTTATCTTATCCGGGAATATCAAGAAAGTACTACCCAGGCCTGACTGGACTTAAGTAAGTAAGTATCATCAGCAGCCAGGTAAGTGTCATAAAACCCTGTGTACTAAAAAAAATCAAAGAAAAACGTGCACGGTCAATACCCTGATAATTTAATTTGCTAAGACCTTAGAAAAAACAGTCCCCTCCAAACACATAGTGCAACTAGCAGAAAATTAAACCTTGCTCTACTCAATGTAAGGTCACAACAAAACTCTGCTGATTCAAGATCTTATTAAAGAGCATAAGCTAGATTTAATGTTTCTGTCAGAAACGTGGCTTAGGGATAATGGCACAGCAACTCTACTTGAAACTGCTCCTAAAAAAGTACAGATTTATGCTTTCAGTAAGACAGGGCAGACGAGGAGGAGGAGTGGCCTGCATTTATTTTAGTGACTTTACCTGCAAAAGTACTACAATTATACTACTAAAGATCCTCCCCTTTAACACTAAAACATTTAACACTTTTAACTCCTTTTCCTTTTGAATGTTGGTATGAAAAGCACTTCCTTCAGAAGTACAAAAAGAAAGAAGCAGTTTCTTTGAGTGTATAAATCACAAAGAGAGAGAGAAAAAAGAAAGATTCTTACCTGTAAGAACAGAACATCCTCAGCCTCCATTTCCTTCTCTAGGTTTCTGATTGTGTCTGAAAGAGATGATATTTCTCCATTCATCTCCTTAATCTTACTCCTCATCATCTGACTCTTCTGCTCCTCTTCCTCCTTCAGTGCAGCTATCCTTGCTGCTTCTTCATCTCTTAGAAACTGGTGAAGCTTCTCAAACTCCTCCTTTATCTGCCTCTCTGTGTGCTGGGCCTGCGTCTGGAATGAGAGATGATTAGGAAACACAAACTCTAACAGATGATCTACAGGCATTTACCACCTACAGGAGAAGTGGACACTCAACAGAAATATGACCTCAGCAACATGTTTCACAATTTAAGATGATGTTTCACCTTAATGTGAGCTGCTGTTTGGTCATAGTCTTGTTTAGCTTCCTCTAAGACTTTCAGATTCTTCTGTAGAGGCTCCAGAGCAGACTTGAGTTTAATCTGAAATTAAATAACAATTCAGATTAGTGCATTCTCCACCTTATACAATATCTGATTTAACATATATTTAAATGTAAAAGTTGTCCTACAAACTACAGTTGATAAGAGAGTAATAGCTATTTTACTCTCAGTCTCAAAATCAGAAGAGATCTTTTCATTTTTGTACAGTAACATTTCTATGTTGAAAGGTTACATTTTACATTGTCATATTGAATTCAGCAACAGCACATTTTTGTGTCTAATATTTCACTTGTGCTGTTTGCTCTTTGCCCTGAAACCACACCCACTGACTGACCTCACCTTCGACACACATAAAAGGCTAATCAGTAACTGAACTGAGAAAGAATTTATAATATTTTAAAGAATTTTTAAATAAATAAAAAGTTACATTGTAGATATCAAAATACTATCAAAATAATACAACTATTTTTGTACCTTAAAGTCAGTCACTACTTCATCAGCTGGACAGCAGTAGTGATTTCTGTGTGACTTTGAAGTCTGACACACCAAACACACAGGCTGCTGATCATCCAGACAGAAGAGTTTGAGTTTCTCATTGTGCAGAATGCAGAGCCCCTCAGACCCTGCTGAAGACCTCTGACTCCTGCTCTCTAGAAAAAACTCACAAAGGTTCTTCAGTGCAAGGTTACAGGGAGGATCATGTTTAGAGGATCTTCTCCTACAAACTGGACATTCTCGGGACCCCTTAGTTTCCCAGAACTGCTGCAGACAGGTTTTACACACACTGTGGCTGCACGACAGAAGAACAGGATCCCTGAAGATTTCACAGCACACAGGACACGAAAGCTCTACTTCTGAAAGAGGGTTTCTAGCAGCCATTTCCTCCAACTGCTGCTGTGCTGTTTCTCTGTAACAGCTCCTTTAGTCCAAACTCCACTTTCACTTTTAGGACGTCTGTAATGATCAGAGCAGCACAGTTGAGAATCAGCCACCATAGCCCTTCAACCCACTGAGTGAGTTTTAGCTCCTTTCAGAATCACACATCAAGAAACAAACACAAACAGTCACTGTTTAAAAGCTTCTCATTGGTGTCTCTGAGTGAAGTGAGTGCAGAATGAAGAAAGATCAGAGAGACAGGATGAGATTCACTTCCTCCAACAGGTAGAGGAGGTGTAGAGGAGGAGATTTGAAAAAGGAGGAGTCAGTCAGGTGATCTATTCTAACTGTGTGTTTTCTACACTAGATGGCAGCAGTTCAGTAATAACCTGAAACAAGGAGCTCTCAGATGAGTCGATGTTTCTAAATTATTAGTTCATTTCAGCAACCAGAATCCAGGTCTTACAATTAAACATGTAAACTATGAGGTTTGATTTTGCCTCATATTTCCTCATTTTATGCACAAACTTGCATGAACAGTGACACATATTCACTGCACTTTAGTGATTTTTTTTATTGTTGTAGATATTTTTGCTGTTTATGTTCTTCTACTAATTCCTATTATTATTATTATTGTTCCTGCTGCCTGGTGGAGTCTGGACATGACAGCTATAAATAGCTGGTGGTTTGGATCCTTGAAAATGGCTCCCTCCCTATCACTTCTATCTCACTGCCTACAGTTACACCTATATTATATATGATAAAGAGATAGTGAAGGTGAAATTGGCAAATTTGAACCTGCCAGGTTTAAAAATATTACAAGCAATATCTGCAGAAATCAGACACACAAATCCAAACTGATCTCCTGTCTTGTCATTTTGACTGTAGTTACTGTAATGTTTTCCAAAAAATTGGTCATAAAATTGCCCCTCTACAGACCAATGGGACCATTCGTCTGCTGGTGGAAATCACAGCACCAAAGAATAGAATTTGTCCATCATCACACCCAGAGTTTAAGGTACTGATGAGTCCACTAAAAAAGCATTAAAATTAGGATACAATGCTGAATTATAGATGAATAAAGATCTATGATATGAGGAATAGATAATTACTTGATAGACATTGTTTCAAGTTGTTATTTGAAAATGGTGCAATTTCCTTGATGCAGCCCAACATCCAACCTTAGTAGATAGATATATTTTATATATTTATCATTTGGACAATTAGTGTATGAATTACATGAAATGATATAACCTGAAACATATGGGAGTTTATGCAGTGTGACATCATAGACACTTCAGTCAGAGATGTGCACTCTTTTATCTCAACAGCAAAACCTACCAGACCTGAACACTCCCAGAAAAAAAGGTACTGAGAGTCACTGGTGTGTTACCATCACATCACTGGGGTACGTCAAGGGTACATCTTCAGTAGCTTTAGTTAAGAAACATAATTGTATTATAGTTTTTTTTTTTTCAAGTTGCATTGACATGCAGATGCATGTGTATACTTATTTTAGAAATAAGTAAATACGAGTGAAAGGTAGGAAGTTAAATAAATAAATAAATAAATAACATTTGCAATCATATGTGCTGTACATAGCTGTTCTATTCCAGAGTGGCTATCACTGTAAAACATGTAGAAATTACAGTAAAAAACTATCAAATAGCAACAGTAAAAGACTATGAAGTCCAAAATACTATTTCAGTGTAATTGATACATTAAATTACCTTAAATCAGGAAACAATAAATAACTTTAATTTTTACTGCTATATTGTGTAGAAAATACACAATTTAACTGTGAAAATATAAAATTTGGGTGAAATTAATGGGGAAAATACTGTAATGTCATGAAGAAGTAATTACCTTAAAATTGACGGTGTAATTCTTCATTGTACAACATCCAACTTGCTAAATGTTGGGCAAATTTTAAAAATATAGTTGGCCCAACTTTCTCATGATGGTTTAAGTTAACTGATTTAACAATCTGTACTGAGTTCAGGACTGTCTCATAGCACACACACTGCATCAACTTACAATTTCAAGTAAGACAAAATGTAACATTTTTATATGAGTTCTAGTATCTGGGCGGCTCTGGGGTTCAGCAAACTGACCCAGTAGAATCCACCCGATTCTCTATAAACACAGAGATACATAATGGAGTATATCAAACCCAGTGTACAAAACATATAAATACATATAAGTATTTTTTGCTGCAGAAGTTAACAATAACAGCCATTAGTGACTCTATTTGGTTTACATTGTACATTCTCTGGAGCTTTAACCCTAATGTTAGCTAACAAGCTAATGGGCTAATAACCCAGCTAACATGAAGAGTTGAATAAGAGTTTTGGCACACCACAATCAGGACAGGTACAGGTCAGCAACTGATGCTTTGGCAAAAATAACTTTATATTGCAGATTCCATACTGAGGAGGATTCTACCTGTACTGCGGCAGATTCCACCCATACTGAGGCAGATTCCACCCATACTTAGGCAGATTCCACCCGTACTGAGGATGATTCCACCCATACTTAGGTCCAAGCTCTTCATCACAGAGACGGGAAGTGCGTGCTTAGAGCAATTTCTGGAAACTTTGGAAGGCTTCAACACGTTTGGTAAGTAAACTTAATTTATTTGATGTACCAACAGTTTTTCAGTCAAACATTTACTCAAACCTAATGCTATGATTGGTCATTGTCTTTTTTTTCTTGTTGAGTCTCCAGTCTTATCTTGAGTCTTATTCTGTGATTAAACAGCAGTTTCTCTACACTTCACAGTGTTTGAACTATATGAATGTGCTGAAGTATGGATGATCAGATCTGCCAAAATGAAAAATAAATAAAATTAAGAAATAAATATCTCAGTAAATTAACCAATAAATACAAACAACTAAATAAAGTATATATTGCTTATTTTTTTATTGTAATTATACACATTTCCTTTTTCAGCAGCTATATTTCTCAATTTATTCATTTCTGTATTTTTTTTATAAATGCCTCTGTTCATTTTTATTTTTTTTTCTGTATCTATATTTTTAACAGTTGTTCGCTTTATTTATTGATTCATTTTTTTTTCATTAAAGCATTATTTATTTCTGTATTTCTTCGTTCATATGATAATGAGGGGGCGCATTTTTCATGTTCAGGCTTGGCAATCAAGCCCAGCAGGAGAAAAGTTGATTAAACTGTTCTTTCACTCCATAAAGAACTGCAGTGTCACGAACAGACAAACCTGCCAATAAATAACTTTCCATGGCTTCCACAGGCAGCATGTGAGCAGGGCGTCCGAATGTCTGAGTGATCTGAATTTTGCAGAAAAAGACGATGAACCACCTCCTCCAGAGTTCTGAACACTACAGGGTGGACCTCTGAATCAGCAGATCAGCAAAATGGAACAAACTGTCTCCACAGCCTCCACAGGAAAGAGTGAATAATCCGTACCTGCATTTTCAGCCAGATCAGCCGAGACTCTCAGATCTCTGACTGTAAGCAGCCATTACTGTACTGTGTTGTCCTTAGTTACCACTGATAGAGCAAGACATGAACAAAATAAATGAATAGAAAAAAGAAAATAATGTTAATAAAGAAATGTATAAATAACAAAAAAATAAATACAAACGTTAGTGAGAAGGGGAAATTACTAAACAGACATAAGTAAATGCAGACATATTAATTAATGTAATGATTTTATTCATTAATATATAGAATTTATATGTTTTTATTTATTTTCAGATTTATCATCATTATTCTTGGCATTCTAATTCATATATTAATTTACTAAGTCATTTATTTTTACTGAAGGAATTTTTCCATACTGAAGATACCACAGAGTGAAACTGTACAAAGTCAGCTCTGCTGTCTCTCCCAAATAGCCTTTTATTAACTTCAGATATAGTGCTGGGTTTCATAGTGAATAAAACAACAGACAGTTATTATAATTTGATCATTCTGGTGAATTTCAGATTGGTCTGAAAGGACTACTGACTAGGGCTATGGGAAAAACTTGATTATTAGATGCATCGCGATGCGGACGAGAACGATTCTGAATCAATTCATAAATGTCAAAAATCGATTTTCTAAATATTTAATTTATAACGTAATGTTGATGGAACATAAAAAGCGGAGCTTGGAAGTGCGGAAGTGCAGCGCCCGGACAGTCTGTGATGGCACATAACAAAAACACAACTGGATGAGCGAGACATCCGACCGGCTCCCTCTGCATTAAAGCCAGGTTAGGTCAGGAATCACAACACAAGTGATAAGAAGAGCCATTTTGTCCTCTTCACAAAAATCAAACCACCTTGGCAGCCACAACATTTAATGCCCAGTATGTCTCAGTGTGTGCTAATGTCCTAGTATAGGCTAAAAAATATGAACGAAATTGTAGACTTACTTTGCACTGTGACAAGCTTTAGCTATAGCCGCTTTCGTCCGCTCTCCATCAGAAAACTTTTCCTCAGAATTAGAGCAGCTTATTGTAAAATGTCTGTCAATGTCTTTTACGAGGCTGAAGTCGCTTCTCATTCTCCAGCTTCTTGTTCGAATTTTCCCATTCCACCTTAAATTCTGCCTGAGGCGCCAAATGTAGCTGCTGCACCATTTAAGGTGGAACGGGACAATTTGAAAGAGAAGCAACTTCATCTTCACAACTTTTTTGTCATGACTCCCTCCAGCCCTGACACCTCAATGGACTCCATCTCCCAGAATCCTCTGGGAGATCATGTGACTCATGACCTTCCACCCTGCACCAATCACCGTTCAGCTTCCCCTGAATACTAATCTGTTGCACCTGTTCTTGTCTTTGTTTGCCTAGTTAGAGTAGTATAAAGCTCGGGCTTTTAGTTAAACTCATTGCGAGGTATTGCATTTTTCGTGAGCTACTGAGCGGTCACTTTGGTTATTGTTTTTCTGGATCCTGACTACCTTTCTGTGTTTTGGACTTTGCCCTTTGGACTCTGTTTGCCTGGTGATGTTTGTTTGCTTGTATTTTCTGTCTTTTTTGGATTTGACCTATGCCTGTTTTTCAACTACGATTTTGGATCACGATTTTACAAGTAAAGCCTTTTTCTCTTTTTTCATCCGCGAGCGTCTGAATCATTCTGGCACATTACGTTTTTACTGTTTGACAGTCTCTCGTTGCAGATTTAATGTTCCAGGAAACCAACTGCGCCACTTATAAATGCGAATAAGTCCACTTGCCTCCAAATGTTCGTCTTAAATCTCTGCCTTTTCGTAGCTACTAGCCAGGCGAGACTTCGCTGCTATGTGACCTGCAGTCTTCTCAGTTGTTGAGAACCAGGGCTTTTGCGCTATGTTGCACACTTTGGAGCCGAGATTCAGTGTCCAGTCTTGAAAATATTTTACTGACACAGTGACCCCTGACTCTCTACAACAAGACCAAAACCGAAGTTATAAAGTCACTGAATTGAACGGGCAGGACGGCTGTAACATGTGCTGCGTGGAAATCCATTACCACTGGATCTTATGTCACCCTAACAGTGCATTTTATCGCAGATTAGTGGCAGCAGCGTCTCAAACAAGAGCAGTGAATGAGAGCCTTCTAGATCACTTCCATTTGATTCATTAATAAAAGATATTGGAAGTAAATGCATTACAGATCATTACAAATATTTTGCTTTAAAACTACCGAGTCCTCACAAAGTGAAAAAATAGAAATCCTGTATAGAAAAAAAAAGATGCATCAAGATGCATCAAGATGCATCGATAACCGTTTTATAATCACATCGCAGCCCTCTGAATCGTAATCAAATCGTGAGGTGCCTAAAGATTCCCTCCCCTACTACTGACAGACTTCATACGACCTGTTCAACATCCAAAACAGGAAAAGCTGCTACTCAGAAAGAAAAGAAAGTAGAATTCACTTCACTGTTAAGAAACAAAAGTTTTAGACAAACTTTCCTACATTAAACTCTGTCACAGCTTCATCTATCGGACAGAATTCATGATTTTTGTGTTTTGTTGAAGTCTGACACACCAAACACACAGACTGCTGATCATCCAGACAGAAGAGTTTGAGTTTCTCATTGTGCAGAATACAGAGCACCTCAGACCCTGCTGAAGACCTCTGACTCCTGCTCTCTAGAAAAGACTCACAAAGGTTCTTCAGTGCAAGATTAAAGGGAGGATCATCTTTAGAGGATCTTCTTCTACAAAACAGACATTTTTGAGGTCTTTTAGTTTCCCAGAACTGCTGCAGACAGGTTTTACACACACTGTGGCTACATGACAGAACAACAGGATCCCTGAAGATTTCACAGCACACACAGCATTAAAGATGCTCCACTGGTAGCTTAAAGATGCCATTTTCTCCAATGACTACTGGTCTCTTCTTCTAATGGTTTCTCCTTTCATGATGTCACTTTCACTTTATGGGTTTCTGTACTGACCTCAGCAGAAGTGTTCAGAATCAGTCACTGTGGTCCTTCATCTCACTGTCTTCAGAAGTCAGATTTAAAAAGTCAAAGTCATTAGATGAGTGTTTTTATCAGCAATTCTCAGACAAGATAAGATAAAATGAACCGTGAGGATCAGCAGAGGGACAGTATGAGGTTCAGTTTCCTCCAGCAGGTAGTCTGTGTAGTGGAGGAGGAGTTATGAAAGGGAGGAGCTGAATTATCCTTTTTATCCTTTGGATGCTCTTGTAATTCATTTAAAACCCTAAGTTTGTAGGTTGTTTTTCCTGGTATGTTAATGTTGTTTTTAAATAACAGAACCACAGACAAAGTAAAATGTTTTATTAAATGTTATATTTTTTATGTTAATTATTCCATTTTGCAGTTCAGTCTTATTTTTCAGTTATTTCATGATTTCTTAATCACATAATTAATTACATAATGAGCTCTTTATATTACATAATCAAAAGGCAAAAACATTCTGTGGAGAGTTTCTCAAAAAGATTGTTCTTTTTTTTTGCAATTTTTTTTCTCTCCAAATGTTTATATTAATATTTTATATAACCCATTACATTTAGCAGTTTATTTTATGTGTTCATTTTGAGCACATATAACTTTGCATCCAGCAATTTTTTAAACAGTTAAGTCAAAACTGTCAGATCACTAATGATGTAACACTACTGACTACACTTTACACCAGTGGCAGCATGACTTGACTTCCTGTTTGCACTGCAGTTTAAACCAACCCAGTCTCAAAGAAAATACACTCATATACAACTTAACTGTAGCACCTGAAATACGTTGAAGATCAACGTTCTGTTATAAGAATATGATGTTTGTCAAATTATCAGACTTCAGTCTTAAAAGATTCTACATAGAATTTATCCAGTGAAGCAGAAATAAAAGATGAAAACTATGAAACTGTTGTCCATCCCTTTTTTCATTGCCTAAAGCCTATTAGACCTTTTTGGATAGATAGTATCTAATTTTCTTACAAGGAAACGTAATAAAGCAATTAAACTTGTTTGATGTAATATTTTAATGTTAACTAGAGAAAACTGAGGTTAATGTATACTTTATTGTAAAAGTTTTCTTTATAATAGGAAAATATAACATTCACAGGGGAAACCGGTTTATATTATAGTCAAAAAACATACATTAATCTACTTGTAAGTTATGTTCATATTGAAGAAACTCTTTGTTTCAAGTTGTAAGTAAAAAAAAAAAAAGACTATCTTTGCATATAGACTATTTAATGTTTTTTTGAGAAATTTCCATGGGGCTCAGATCAGTGTTGAGATCTATGGTTTTACACAAATTAAATTACATTAATTATACTAAAAATGTTTAATGTTAAATTCAGTATAATATCTTTAATGTTTATTATTATTATTATTATATATGTATATATATATATTTTTTTTAATTATTATTCATTTCTATTAAACCATTAGTATATTTTCCTGTTATTTGAAACATTGGATGCAAAGGCAACAGAAATGCTATGCGAATGATGCTCAGCACATCATCTTTGTGAAAAAAAGGGCTTGTTTGCAACTAAATATGGAAAACTGTCTAAAAAAATGTTAATTTGTTTTTTTATTTTATTTTATTATTTCACTATCATTTCAAATAAGCTCTGATTGTTCCTCCTCATCTTGTTTTTGCAAAACAATAATTGCTTAAGATTTCATAATAAAGATGTATAAGGATTTCTTATCAAAATATCAGGTCCCATCATCTTGTAACCAATGACATTGAGACTCGTTCTTTTTCTACTTTTATTATCATCTAAATATTCTAGCAAAGTGCTGCACAATTCTGCTCCATTAAAGGAAAAATAAGACTACAAGTCAAATAACGTTAAACTGGACACCAGATTTAAAAAGAAAAAGAAGGGAAAAGAGGATCACATTACTTTGAATTGCGCTGCTCTGCAAAAATCTCACCATAGCTTTTTAGGAGTTCTTCATTTGTTGGGGTGTTAATCATTCAGACTCTTTATAAAATATTTAGTTTCTACTGAAAAAAAAACATCAAACTTAGATGCAATTTTGAAAAAAAAAATATGAATACAGAATTATTATGTCTTTATTTACTCACTAATGTGTG